GTTGAGGGGTTGGGGATAAGACCCCCCCCCCCAATGAAGTCGACAAATAGACAAATATTATAGAAAACTTAGCTACTGTATACGTATGCCCCCTCAATAAAAATTTTTTCTTTCATTTCATTTTCCCAATGAATTGTTTGGTAGTGACTTTAAAATAAAAAAAGTTTGGTTGTGCCCCCACCCCCAACTGAAATTGCTTGCTTCATGCCTGTTACATATAATTTATTAAAAAAAAAAGCAGCCCAAGATAATTTAATTAAGATCGCCATTTAATACATCATCTAAGAAGATACTGTCTACCATGAATGCTCGTTTATTTCTTTGAAGTGATATTTTAATACATTTAAAAATCTCTCTCTCTCTCTCTCTCTCTCTCTCTCTCTCTCTCTCTCTCTCTCTCTCTCTCTCTCTCTCTCTCTCTCTCTCTCTCTCTCTCTCTCTCTCTCTCTCTCAATACAAGACACTTTATAAAGCGCACTACCCATTTACTTGATTGCACGGATTTATTTATTTTTTTTAGCCTGTAAAAAGTAACCTTTCCCCATATGAACAAGGCATACACTACGAGTAGTTTGTAAACGTTTAAATCACTGACGCATGACAAACTTGTTTCCTAATCTGTCTAAAGTATTATGGTGCATTTTCTTCTATTTGTTCGCTTTTTTAAATTAACGTTGTAAGTGATTACAGTAAATTTGACAAGCAACTTTCAGTTACAAAGTGGTTAAAACACTATCTGTTCTATTTTATACATGTACTTTTTTCTTCCGATTTAAAATTTTCTATGGGTGCAATCACTGGTCCCGAGAAAACTATCGAGATACGGTAAGTTAGGGCGAGTTACGTTCGTTCGAAAGATGTCGGTGTTTCTCTATTATCCATTTGATATACATATATCTCTTTAAGTATTTTGGCCATACTTTATTCTATTGATCCTTAGTTTACTAGTACAAATCTTTGTGTTTGTTATGAAGAAGCATTTGTATTAGAATTTGAAGGATGTTCAAAAAGTTTGAGGACAATGCTAATTTATCGTCTTATTATTTTTCTTTAGAAATAAAAAAAAACAACATTTTCATCAATGTTGTCCTGCAATTTTTTTTAAAAGAATACGAGTCCACATGACATGGATATAACCACTGCTGACAGATAACATTTTACAAGTACATCAAATTGTTGAGATGAATGTTATTTGTGACAACATCTGCATTTTCCGTCTCCTGTAAGTTTTGAAATAAGTCATGTTTCAGAGGAAAAATAGAATGAAGTCAGGTTATATATGCTTCTGAAGACTACATAAATGAGAAAATCCCGCTATCATTTGATACATTCACAGTACAGAAACGTCATTGTTTTCTTCATGTCTTCTATTTATTTTTCAACAAGTAATAAAATATGTGCCAGTTCTTCAAACAAAAGGGCTTTAACATTAGACACAAAACGTTTAGATTCTATAATATGTCTACGGGCTATTTAGGTAGTCAAGAATATATGGCTATATTTTCTTTTTGAACTTTAATTTCAACCTTTAATTTCTGCTAAGTTTCCAGTTTGAGAACAAAAATGAATGCTAGTATTCAACAATGCTCATGAATTTATTTCTTTTTAAATATATTGTTTGTTTTTATCCGTGGCCTATAGTTGATAATTAATGTAATTCATAATCCTTCACCTTCAAGTTATACTTAATACAAAATTAATCAAAAGAAAATAAAGTTGAATCAAATAAAAGGAAAAATTGTTTTGAATTGATTTAACATTCAAAGCTTACTACACAGATACCTGTTTCACAGTACTGTCCAGTGTAACCATTATTACATTCAAAACATTGTCCTATCTGAAAGTGACACGTGTTATTCAAACAGTTCTGAGGACACCGGTTGCAGTTTTCTCCGTAAAATCCTAAATCACATCCTGCATAAAATGCATAAGATAAATAGTGGCAATCTTCAAGATAAAGATAAGAAGAACATAATATTTTGTTGATATTTTTCTGCAAGTTCAAAATATGTTTATATTAAAACAGTGTAGAAATATCTAAAGGAGGATGAGCATGTTTCATAATAAAGAATAACTGTTTTTAAATGCAAAATAAATCTTTAAAAGTAGTGACAAGTTTTAAACTCTACTCCTCTGCAATGTAAAAAGGGGTAAGATAACGAATAACATTTGGATGTTTGAAATTCATGTACTATATTACATATTTATATATATACACTAAATGATGCTTATAGCGAACACGCGTATAACAAAATTGACACTTGCAACGAAGTGATTTTCATTTCCATGAGTTTATCATACATTGTTAACTGATGCATGTAACAATAACGTATAATTCTAATAACAAAGAAAATAGCCCCGTCCCTGGCACTGAGTTCGTCATGAGCTTTTATTACTGGGTTTGGAATTCAAACAAGGTAAATGTTGAGGGAATTCGGTTTGACTTAACGAGGTCGAGTCTAATTTTTACCATAGGGATTTTAATAATTTTTTCTAAGTTATTTTTCATTGTTATATTTATTGTTTTAAGATTAAAAAATCGAATGTATACCACCCCAATTTCTTCGGAGGCCATCTCAAAAGTTGTCAAATTTTCCTATTGGACCCTATTGGAATTTGTTGGAATTGTGCCAAATTATGACAGAAATAACGAATGTTACCAATGAAAATGGAGCAAGTAGACTGTCAGAAAGTACCCTGAAAAGAATTTTGAGAAAGGGGGGATATCGGAGGAGGCTTGTAAAGAAAAAACTTCGGATTTGTGAAGTCAACAAGAAAAAGCGAGTTAATTGGTGTAAACAATACAGATACGAAACTGTCGATGGGTTTTGGAATAATATAATATTCAGTGATGAATGTAATTGATGGAGAACAACGCGTGTATGTGTGGCAGAAGGACGGGGAAGAATGGGACCCCCCTTGGGTTGCACCCCCTCCAGGACGGCGCCTTGATTTGATGGTGTGGGGATGTATAACAGCTTACGGTGTAGGTACTTTATGTGTTGTTGACGGTAATATTAATGCCGAAAAATATATTGAAATCATCGATAGCAATTTATGGCCTGTTGTAGCCAGGCATTTCCCTAACAATCGGTATACCGGTATATTTCAAGACGACAATGCGCCTGTGCACAGAGCACGAGTAGTAAAAGATTGCGTGACTAGAGAGGGAATAACAACACTTGAATGGCCAGCCCAAAGTCCTGACTTAAATATTATCAAAAATTGCTGGAAAAAAATGAAACATGAACTTAATATAAATGTTCATAACTTGAGGACCAACGATGACCTTGCAGTAGCCGTTCGACAGGCCTGGGAAAACATCCCGCTTCAATTCATTCAAGGGCTATACCAGTCGATTCCAAGAAGAATTAAAACAGTAATCAAGTCAAAATGCTGTCTTACAAAATATTAAGGTTGGTGCAAATTTAATTAAGTTAAAAATTTGACGAAACTTAGGTGACCTAGTTTTGTTTACATCGCCGCCATTTTGTTTTTTTACGAATACTTATGACCCGAGACTGTAATTTTTTTTTTCACTATTAGAGAATATACTTTAATTTTGTTTTAATATTAAAATCCAAATATTGGAATAAAAGATATTTCCTAACATCGTTATGCATAGAAAAGCGAGAAAATTGGGTTATTTTGATAAATTGTGCAATAACCTGGGTTCAAATAATATTTCATGAATAAGAATTATAGTATCTTTACTCGTTTGGAAATATACAGATTCAGCTAGCATTAAATTGAAACATTCTTTATTCTATACTATAAGAATGCAAGCATATTACTTAATCACACTTTGTGTACATTTATTGCAGAGTTAATAAATTAATGAACGATTACTTTTTTACGTTTTTTTTCTTCTTATTATCCTGTAATCTTAACTTAAAGCAAGCAAAGTTAAATAGAGTATTGAAGAGAAAATTGAGGGGACGAAGGATGTATGGTCACATGAATCAGTTTAATTACGTCATAATCTCTGATTAAGTACAAAACAAGATTTAAACCACAGTACGTATATTATTTTTAGACTATTTGTTGGAGTTCACCAGATTGTATCAAAATATCTAAAAACATTAAAAATTTCTTTCAATTATTATCAAATTATGGAATAGATTAATCCACTCATCTATTTCCCTACACTGCGCGTCCAACGAGTCAATGACGTCATAGTAGATCTCTTTGTACAGTAAGATTATACACGGTAAAACAGGGTAGTATAATATCATAAAACGGGACATGACCAGTACATGGTGGGGAATTTTGTAAATTAGAAAACACAAAAAATATTTTTACATGGTTGTTGACGGAGATATATTGTAAGTATGTCTTATTTCACTTATTTTGCAAACGTGTAAAGTCATAGTTGGGTTTTCCCGTACTCGAGAAATGTAAACATGACACGTTTTATTCATGCTCATGTCTTGTTTAACTATGTCCTGTGCAATATTGATCTCAGATTCACTAATCGATGCTTTTACAGTTAATTAATAACACGACGATCTTTCATTTCAATGTAAATTTTTAACATTGAATGATAGGTTTTTCTTGCAAAATAATTTTTTTCTTGTTTTAAGTTGTCTTAAGAAGTACGTAATTTTTCGTGTCCAGATGCGGTGTGTCAAAAGAATATTGCTTTTTCGAATTTTCAGCCCTACTTAAACTCTGTAATATTTTAAAAGGCACATGTTTGCTGACATATTTTTATCTATGCTGAAAAAAAAATCCATTATGGACCGAGTAATGGGCCTAGAAACATGGAGAATCAAAACTTCACTTACTAGACACAATTGGGTATAGTATTTCAAAAATCAGTCTAGAAACCTATACAACGGCTTTAAGGTATGTGGCACATACGTAATTAGAGATATACAAAATAATCAAAAAAATTGAACAAAGGGTATTTTTTTAGGTAAAGGTCCTTCTTCCCCTTAATTCCAAAACAGATACTATTAATGTGTTTTTCTATCAATCAAAGAGAACAAAACAGTTACCTTTAACTTCTATTTCGCACATATTCATATATGAGAATTCGGATACATTAGGAAATGACGTTTTTTTCCTTGTATTGTAAACAGTGACGTAACGACCAGAAGTTACACAATCAAAATTTATGTTATTCTGTTGTATTTGTTGAATGTTATGTTGATAACAGAGAGTTCCTGACCTCCAGTCTTCTGTATCAGATACATACACAGAAAATCCAGACAAGGTGTTGCCTTCTGTAGAAAAATGAAACATAAATAATTACACCTTATGACGATTTGTCTTAAAGTAAGACTTCGATATGGCATACATTCCTATTTTATATTTACGCAGCATCGTTAAGGCTGAAAAAAAGGAGGCTGGGCCTAATTTTTGCGGGGGGGGGGGGGTTACTCTGACGTCACAAAAATATAACTTTTATGCATTCCTCATAATATAAGAAAATGAAATAATGTGCAGCTTAAAACTGTATTAGCATAATAAACAACAATAAAACTTATCAATGCATTTAAAAACAATTTCCGTTTTTGCACTTCTACTTTCCGTTGATTTTTCAAAGTAAGCCTTAACAGTGCTGCGTAAAAATCTGTCCTCATATTATTGCAGAGAAAACAAATATTGAAATTCTTACTTTAATACCTTCGACCAAATTACATTTCCACTTTCGCAAGGATCTAGGAAAACATTAATATATGCTGTACCTGTCACTTGGATTATCTTTTCCGACCGATGACGCAAGAAGTATTCATTAAGTAACTTTTTAGTTGATCATGTTGTGTTTAGAGAATTTGGCTATGCCAATAAGGTCTGTTAATGGTACCCATGGGAATGTGGCTATGCTAAAATGATCTTCCAATAACGGACAGCAATTGTTACCTATGAGAATTCCAATAGATTGTTGGAAGACCTGGTCACCAAAAACCACATACATGTAGATATTGTCAATAAGAAACCCAAGCATCTTTTTGATGTCAATTTCAGAGTACGCGTGTGTGTGCAAATAGAATGTGCTTTATCAAGTGGGCGAAAGGGTGCGAGGGATGGGTAAGAAGCAGATACCGTGGCTATTATGTGTGATTCATATGAAGTTAAAGTTTATTAATCAGGTATATTAATTTATATCATTGGTTATGTTTTCTTTCGACAGTCAGCTATTTACATGTATGTTTCCCCGTCAGCCTATTCGATAGTTTTCCTTTTAACTGCGGCTTTGATTAATCATCAAGCTTATTTCTCTTGAAAGAGTGAAATTTCTCAAAAAAAAAAAATGATAAAAAGATTTTAATGCTTCCTTATCATACCTGGGTTAATTCTACCAAGCTTACTTTGACATTTTACAGCTACATGAGATCCTGATGGACAGCCAGATGGTCCTTTTGGACATGTATTTATGTTAACTTCATTGCCTGTACAGTTCAAGACATTCTCATAAAATGCAGTCGATGAATTATCTTCAGCTACGTTATAAGATGGATTATCTCTAAAAAAGGTCAAATAATAGTTTTTAGAAAATATTATAAGTACAGAAAACAACACATAGAAATTCAAACGCTAAAAAGTATCTTAGATGATATGTTAGGGGAGGAACATTTTTGTTATCTAAAGTTTTTATTTAAAATAAAAGTATCTTGAAAGTATCTTAAATTTTTAAAAAGTACACCCAACTTGTAAAAGTAGCATTACATGTAATTCAATGACAAACTATTGGGACAAAATATATCATTTAGGAACCCATCGTCATTTCTTACATGTACATGTACAGGGTACACAATTTAAGATTTTCCATTTAAGATTATATTTGATATTTAATCTTTTATAATTTAAAATCCACATGGCTGATTTTCATTCAGCTAGTCAGTTCTTTTTTTGTTCAAGCCCTCTCTAAAACAGATCTGCAGAATTTGATCCAATTGCTTTAATAGAATGATATGAAAATCAACCTAAATGACTATAAATCTTCTAGATATGTAGACACGCGGCTAGGATACGTTTGTCCGTAAAATATCAAACAGATCAGTCTGTAGTAACTTCTCTGACCTTCATAGATTTGACGTCATAATAGCATATGACGTCATGTCACTAAGTTTTACATTCCTTTCATATTGCATGTCGATTTTTTTTGGCGATGTTGTTTCATTCAATTGTTTGGATTGTTTTTAAGCTCCAGAGTGCTGTTATGATGTTAAACATTTGAAAATTATACATCTACATTTTTCCGCTTGTCCGATATGCACCAATGTAAACAGTTGCGAAAAAATGAATGTGAAATGCTCCCCTAACACATCAGTAGACAGAGTTAGTTTGAATCGTGATTTTATATATATGACTAGCAAAAAGTAATTAAAAAGGATACATTGAAGATATTCTGTGTGAATCAAAAACAAAAATAAGTCCTCTATTTGTATTTTGCTGGGGGTTGTATGTAGTTTATTCATTTTTGTATAATCGCGATAAACAGTGGAAAATACCCTTCTTATTTAGTGAGTTGAATTTATCGTAAGATATTTTCTTAAGAAGTAAAACTCAAAGTTGCCCCCCAGCACTTTTTATGTGCTAGAGATTACGATGAATTGATCTATGTAGCAAACTTTTCAAAATGATTTAGTTTTGCATTTGTGCTGACACAATTTTTGTGCAATATTTAATATCTGAAATGTCTGTCACGTGATCAACAAAGTCATGTGACAAAAATGCTTTATTATAGTACCTGATTAAACTCTTAAGACAAGCTGACTGCAAATTCAAACAAGGATTATACATTGAAATTAAAATCCAGCTCAAAATAAATCGTATATTTTTATAATGCATTTTTAGCCTTCGGACAGTCTTATCATAACTCTGAATGGGTATGAATTCTTATAAGTTTTTCCGTGGCATAGTGTCTTTGCGAAATATATTGCAATATTGATTTATTTGAAACTATTATGGACATGCTAGGTTGTACTTTTTAGAAAACCCCTTTCAAGAAGATCACAAATATGCATTAAAATACGCATTGCAATTAAATGACAGTGTAGAATTGTTTTAAAATAAAAAAAAAATAATTTTTAATAAAAAGATGTACAGGTACATGTGGAAAGTCCCATCAGGATAAACTATGCAATCAATATTTCAAATGATAATGAAATACATATACTTACGGTAAAAATCCCCAAGCCAAGCAAACGACCTGTGCATCATTTTCATCAAAGCTATTTGAACAAACCCTTCTTAATGGACTGGCAGCAAACACTGTTCCGTTTCTTTTTGAATCCGGAAAGAGACCAGAGTCAGCAGATCTTATTGAGATGGCATTGTGACCCACTAAAAGTGACATATATATGTATAAGTCTATTATCATTAAAGATATTAAGCTATTCTAGAGGATTTTTTAACAAAATCGTACGAGGATAGCAACTATTTTTATTTCTGTGTTAGCAAAAGCATGATAAATTCTTCTTGGCAAATGAATAAATACTTGACTGTCTTAGATAAGCACCCTAAACGATACAATCTATAATATCGATTCATTGCCTGAGAATTAACGAATAATTAATGTTCACGTCAATGCAACTAATGTATTGCGTTTGACAACTTTCATTTTAATATGAAATGAGAGAATCATAACAAATATTTTTAAATGCTTACAACCCCCATGTAAGATTGATATTGATGCAATATTTTTCTTCTCTCCTAAGTCCACTGTTAACCACGCCTCCTTCTGACCGGAAGCTGTCAGTGCACAGTCCAGTAGGTATGTACTCTTGTCCCCGTCCACAGCTTTACTTGGTGAAAAGTATCCATCATTGTATCTACTACTGACCGTCACAATTTTTCCCCTGGCAAGATTTTCTAAAAAGTAATATTGTATTTTATTTATTCCACTCCTGTTCCATCTTTATTGACATATTTTAAAACGCAACTTTTATGCTATTTGATTTCTAATATTCTTAAAAATAAGATGATTTCTTATATTAGCTAAAAATATTTTTTGTTTTGTTTATTTCTTGACTTTCTTCTTAAAATCTTTAATAATGAATTTTAATACGTTTGATGTTTTCGTACAACTTAAAAATATAACAGAAATGAAAACCTACCATATTGTTGAGAATTGAGAAGTAACCGGCTGAAGATAAATAGAAAATTTATGATATCAAGGTCCATAATGTATTAATTAAGCAACACTTCCTCCCTGTTTATATTGGAACCATCCTCTCTTGTGAAATATCCCACGTTATCAAGTAAAATACTCCTGCTTTGAAATTATATTTATCTAACACTGTTTTAAGGACTGCATTGATATATAAATGGTTTAAGAAAAGCTTTTTTTTTCATACTCCCGGAGCTATGAAATATTTAAATCATGCTTCTTTGTTACTTTGTCAATTTCCGGTTTGTTGAACAAGTAACTTCAGATATAAAATTTTTGTAACAGGAAGGTAAATTTCAAACTACAGCCAAACGTACAACTTTATGAGGAATACTTTTTTAGGTGTTTTAATTTATTTCTGTTCATATGTTCAGACTATGAAATAATGAAATAAAATTTCAGGCTAAAGCATTATATGAGTAAAATATGATGCACAAGTCCTTGTTTATATGGAAATGGCTAAATGAATATAAAAGTTAAGAAAAATAATTTCAAAATAATTTCACAAGTCTTTTTCACAAAGAAAAATTTACACAAGTCAGTTACATTTTTAAAGTTTGACGTCAAATAATGCAAGATGTAAAATATGGGAAGTAACATGTATCTTAAATCGGGGAATATTTTTTTCTTCACATTTACAGCATGAAAAGGAATATATACTTTATAAACAGTAAGTATATTTAGGTAAAATCTTCGATTCTATGCAGCTTTATAATTATAATGTAAGTATCAAAATGAAATTTAGGGGGAAAACGAACAGTATTCAAGGTCAAAAATCCAGAAAATAATACAAAATATGAGCAGTGCAAACACGGAAATAGTTTTTATAAGAACCATTTTAAACATGTCACCTGATGGGTGATAAGAGTTGTCTGTATAAGTTCCATGTCTTTGCTATTAATTCATGTAGTTAACTCCTAACTTTGCTCTAAAAATAAAATTGATATGCTAAATTTATGTTTATGGTATGCCCTCTTTTAGAAACACATAATCAGGTATACAAAAGTAAAGTTTTATGTTGGAATATGTTAAATACATGTGCTAACAACTGTCTTAACTTGACTTGACTTCCCTATACAGTCCCTGAAACGTTCTACGTTCCCATTTTTCCGTTCGCTCACCGTTCGTTCAGCGTTCGTTCACCGTTAGTCTAATGTGCATTCATCGTTCGCTCTCCCTTCACAGTTTTGCGTTCACCGTTCACCGTGCGCTTGCGTTACCGTTCACAAAGCGTTCACCATTCGCTCTTCGTTCCAATTACTTTGCGTTCACCTTGCGTTCACCGTTCAGTTATCGTTCAGAATTCATTGTCATTCGGAACTCCGAGTTGCAAGTACTTATCTTTTTTATGGTAAGGATTTATACGTTTTTAAATAAATAACTAATTATAATTTCTTTTACACTGTTTTGTATTCCCCTTTGCAGTTTTATAAGAATAAACTGACCCAAATGAGGTTATTCTCGAATAATTTGGTAAATCAATAGTGTCATATTTTAAATGTTATTGACACAGTTAGAGAAGGACTCTTATTCTTGGCCAAATTATCGGGTATAACCTGGTTTGGGTCAGTTTACGCAAAGCGGATTAGAAAAAGCGTAAACTGATCCAAACAAGGTTCAACTTGAACAATTTGGCCAAGAATATTAATCATTCCTAATAATTTTTTTTTGAAATAATTAAACAACTGTGAATGTAAAATTGTGTTCCTTTTCGTGGGTTCGAAATTGCCGCTAAATAATACAACCATAGTTATTGAAGCTATAGGAAGCGAGGGGAGGAAATAAATGATAAATAGATCTAGCAGCAATGATGTTCTTTTACGTCAGGTATGATCAAGCGACTGTTAGAAGATAAAGGTACATTTATTACATCTGGAATTGTCCATGGAAATTACGGGATTGCATGGATACAGTTGATTCAGCTGGTTGTCAAAGGGGTGTCTCCCCGTACCAACCTAGATTATACAGAATAATTTGCGTTCCTTTTTGGAAATCAATCAATAAGAGGCTAGAATAGAAACAAAAGGAAATTCTTGGGTTATGTTTTTCAGAATACCTTTTTCACAAAGATTTTAAAGATGTATTGCGCTTAAAATTTAAATGACTGCGTTAAATTGTCTGAAATGAAATTAATGATTGAAATATAAATTAAAAGATGTGTACAGGTACATGCTAAAAACAGACATTTGATCGCTTTTAATTAGCATAATCAGGATGAACAATACTATTGATCTCATTCAAATGATTAGCATATGCTTACGGTAGAAATCCCCAAGCCAGGCAAATGACTTGGGCATCCTTTTCATCAAAGTTACTCGTACAAATCCTTCTTATTGGATTAGTAGCAAACACTGTACCGTTTCCATTAGAATCAGGAAAGAGACCAGAGTCAGATGATCTCATTGAGGATGCATTGAGACGAACTGAAAGTGACATATGTATGTTTCAATCTTTGAATATTAATGATTTTAAATTATTTATGAGGATTCCCCCCCCCCTAAAAATCCTTCAAAATAGGAACGGTCAAATTTCGATTTCTGTACAGTCAAACATTTAACCTTAAAGTTATCCTGGCAGATATATACCAGACTCTCTTGGAATTATTCACACTTTGATTGATACTTCCTTTGATATTAATGCAAAATTCGCAATGCAACGAACAATAAATGTTCATCTGACGTCGATCAATGTATTTTGTTTAATATATAAAATAGGATTATTAAAACGCCAGCTTACAACCCCCATGTAAGATTGATATTGATGCTATATTTTTCTTTTCCCCGAGACCTACAGTTAACCACGCCTCCCTCTGACCGGAAGCCGTCAGAGCGCAGTTCAGTAGGTATGAACTCCTGTCCCCGTCCACGGCTTTACTTTGTGAAAAGTATCCGTTATTGTATCTAGTACTAAAGCAATTTACCATAGGCTGGGTATAAAGCATGAAACGCATAACAAGAGATGAAAATATGATAATATAAAATGCGGAAGTTATTTTCCACTATATGGCTTTAATCTTTTTTTTTGTCTAATATGGAGTCCAAAATATTTTATCTGTTTTTATGACTTGTCAACTTGTTGATAATGCTGAACAATACGGTAAGTAATTATCTATATAATACTGTCAACATCTCAAGTAACCAAACTTCCGCATTTTATATTATCAAATTTTCATCTCTTGTCATGTGCTTCATGCTTTATACCCAGCCTATGGTAAATTGTTTTCTAGATTTAATGTTCTTCTTAGCAGGTGCAACCTATGATTAACATGAGTCAACATGAGATATTTAGTTATCCTAGACATCGGACGTCTTTCTCCTGAATTTCCAGGGGTCTGATTACATGGGCTTAACAACCTGCATCTTTTTATTTGTAGGTTTTCTGATATCAATCAATATTCTTTTCTGTATATATTTATTATTAAGTATACATTAAATGATCATGTTTTAGTCAAGCATATTTTGTAAATTATTCTTCTTCATCACAAACCATTTTGTTGTTTTTGATCTAAAGCTCAGTCTACTTAGTATACAATTTCTTAAAATTCCCTTTTTTATAAATCTTAACAAAATAATTTATGAACAGAGAATTGAACTTTAAAAAAGGAAACCAAAAGAGCTTATGTGTCAATTATCTATACAAAGACAATTAGTTCCTTACTTAGTGTTGTATAAAATTTATAAATTGAGCACGTTTTCGGAGGATAATAAATGAAAGAAACTGTGCTTGAATAAACGCATGTGTTGCTTGCATTAAAGTATTAGGAGAGTTAATCTAAAGAAAGGATGATTATCTACTCAACTATGTTAAGGGAGGTCCAAGTTCACATTCGTGGTGCACCGTAATGGAAGTTTAATTGGTACCAAAATAAAAAATTTAGCAAGCAACGAAAATTAAAAAAAAAAAACGAACCACTATATGCTGCGTTGATAGAAACGAAAATTCATTTATTTTCTCAAATATTTATAAAATCTTGTAAAATTGCAATACTTGATAACAATACTGTCGAGTAATATAAGAAAGTGTCACAAGACGAAAGACCACCTTTAAGCAATCGCTTAATGGTAGCTTAATGGTGACTTAATGGAGGCTTAAAGAAGTTAATTCATTAAGCCATTAAGCCACCATTAAGCTGCAACTTAGAGGTGCTTAATGACCAAACTTCATTAAGATACCATTAAGCCACCTTTAAGCTGAGCTTAACGGTAACTTAATGGTCAAATCTCATTAAACTTTTACGCATCTTATATCGAATCTTTGAACTAACCTTTTAAAAGTTATTTCGATATCAATTTCGCAAAAAATATTTCAACTCATCTTTTTTTTCTCGACTGTCATTTCTATATAATTTAATTTTGTTTTTATTCATAATTTGAACTCATAAAAAGCAGAACAAGTTTACACCCACAGTTGTTTAATTATTTTAAAATTCCGTTTCGCGGATTATAAAGTGTAAACTGACTCAAACCAGTTTATAATCGAATAATTTGGCCAAGAATTAGAGTCATTCCTAAAGTAACATTTTTGTCAACATGCATAAACTCGGGCACTAAGAACAAATTAGCTAATAGCCACAGGGGCTTGCTCGCAGTGTCTAATAATTATTTATTTTACAAAATCATTTACAGTAAATTGAATAATGAAAAGGATAGGTTTTATCATTACCGTATATGATTTTTTTAAAAAGTAAAAAATAATTACATGCGTTGTTTTTAGTATAAGCGTATATGATTTTTGTTTTAAAAAATAAATAATTATAATGTTACACACCGGGAGCAAGCCCCTGTAAAATATCTTAATTTTTTACTACTGAAAACCAATTTGTTCCTAAAATTATCTTTATATCCATGAACAAAATATATTTCAATTTTTTAAAAAAGATGGCATTTTTATTTCATGTGTTAAAAGCAACATTCTGCTACAGAATTCACAGGAATATAAAGTCATGTTCTCATGACAAAAAATATCTTTTTTTCTTTTTTTTTCTTGGGGGGTAGCGGTATAAAAATGTTTAGTTTTCAAAGATTGACTTTAGCATCATGAATGATTTGAATTAATTCGTTATTTTTTATATAATGCAGCGGTAAGTATCTGTCAAAATCTAGTCGGTCTTCACTGATTGTTATTTCAAAATCAATTTTCAAAGAACAGCTGATCAGATTAAACATGACATCCGACCA